TAAATTAGCCAATTGTGCAAGAGTGTGAGCCTAAGCTCTTCCAATCAAGAGTGAGAAACAGATGATGTTCATCAGGCATAAAAGCCCGAACAGACCACCCTCTCAGTGTGCATGTGCTCCCAGATAGTGTGCGTGCGCACCCTCCCAAAGGAGTAAGGATATTTGCCTTGCATAAAAAAATAAAATAAAAGCATTTCTCCTAAGAACAGGAGCAAGACAGGCATGCCCACTTTCAGCTCTCCTATTCAACATAGTACTGGAAGTGCTAGCCATCGTGATTAGACAGGAAGAAAAAATAAAAGGGATTCAAATTGGAAAGGAGGAAATAAAACTCTCACTATTCGCAGATGACATGATATTGTATATAGAAAACCCTAAAGACTCCACCAAAAAACTACTAGATTTAATAAATGAATTTGGCAATGTAGCAGGATACAAAATCAACACCCAAACATTGACAGCTTTCTCATACACCAGTTAGAGATCTGGTGCATGGATTTGTGCACCGGTGGGGTCCCTCAACCTGGCTTGCACCCTCTTGCAATCCGGGATTCCTCAGGGGATGTTGGACTGCCAGTTTCGGCCTGATCCCTATAGGACAGGCAGCAGGCAGCTGGGGAGGAGCCCGAGCCCTGGCCAGGCACCATGCCACTCCCACTCATCCCGGCCCTGCTATGCCTACCGCTGCCATGGTAGTGCTGCCAAGGAGGTGGGAGAGCCTCGTGCCACCACAGCTACACTCACCAGCCATGAGCCCGGCGTCTGGTGCCCGTCTGTCAGCTGAGCGGCGCTCCCACTGTGGGAGTGCACTGAACACCAGGGAGCAGCTCCTGCATTGAGCGTCTGCCCCCTGGTGGTCAGTGCACGTCACAACAACAGGTCAACTGGTCGTTCAGTCACTTAGGCTTTTATATAGAGAGATAATGAATTTTCAGAAAGAAATTAAACAAACAATCCCATTTACCATTGCAACAAAAAAAAATTAAGATATTTAGGAATAAACTAACCAAGGAGGCAAAAGACCTTTTCTCTCAAAACTACAGGACATTGAAAAAAGAGATAGAATAAGATATATGAAAGTGGAAGAATATACCATGTTCATGGATTGGTAGGACCAACATCATTAAAATGTCCATACTACCCAAGGGAATCTACAATTTCAGTGCAATTCCTATTAAAATACCAACAGCATATTTCACAGATCTAGAACAAATACTCCAAAAATTTATATGGAACCAAAAGAGACCCCAAATAGCTGTAGCAATCTTGAGAAAGAAGAAAAAAGTTGGAGGAATCACAATACCAGACTTCAAGTTATACTACAAAGCTGCAATCAAAACAGCCTGGATTTGGCAAAAGAACAGGCATATAGATCAATGGAATACAACAGAGACCCCCAGAAATCAACCCAAGCCATTATGATCAATTAATATTTGACAAAGGAGGCAAGAGCATACAATGGAGTGAAGATAGTCTCTTCAATAAATGGTGTTGGGAAAATTGGACAGATATATTTAAAAAAAGAAAGAAATTAGACCACCAACTTACACCAAACACAAGAATAAACTCAAAATGGATAAAAAGACTTAAAGTAAGTCATGAAACCATAGAAGTCCAAGAACAAATGATAGGCAGCAAATCTCAGACATCTCTTGTAGCAATATGCTTACGGATACATCTCCTAGGGCAAAAGAAACTAAGGAGAAAGTACACAAATGGGACTACTTCACAATAAAAAGCTTCTGAATAGAAAAAGAAACCATCAACAAAATGAAAAGGGTGCCCACTGTATGGAAGAACATATTTGGCAATGGTACATCTGGTAAAGGGTTAATATTCAAAATACATAAGGAACTCATACAACTTAACAGAAAGAAGATAGTCCAATTAAAAAATAGGCAAAGGACCTAAATAGATACTTCTCCAAAGTGGACATACAGAATGCCAAGACACATATGAAAAAATGCTCAAAGTCACTGATCATCAGAGAGATGCAAATCAAAACGACCATGAGGTACCATCTCACACCTGTCAGAATGGCTACTATCAACAAATTAACAAATGACAAGTGCTATCAAGGATGTGGAGCTAAGGAAACCCTAGTACACTGCTGGCGGGAATGCAGGCTGGTATAGCCATTATGGAAAACAGTATGAAGTTTCCTCAAAATATTAAAAATGGAACTTCCATTTGACCCAGTGACCCCACTTCTAGGAATATATCGTAAGAAGCCCAAAACACCAATCAGAAAGAATGTAGAGAAAAACCAAGATGGCGGCATAGGTAAACACCGGAGTTTGCTGCCTCGAACAACCATTTCAAAAATACAACTAAAAGACGGAACGGACATCACCCAGAACCACAGGAAGGCTGGCTGAGGGGAAATTCTTCAACTAGAAGGAAAGAGAACAGCATACCGAGGCTCAGAGGAGGCGCAGTGTGGAAAATACAAAGGTACCGAAGTGCGTGCGCAAAGCGGGCTGGTGGCTGAGGGCGCGGTTGTCGTTTTCAATCGGGAGGGAGTCTCAGACTCTGAGCTCCAGATCCGGGTGAGTTTCTAGGGACTCAGACTCAAACGGGAGAAGCGGGACTGTCTGGCATCCCTCGGAACGTGAGGGCAGCTTTCTCTCCGAGGTTTGCAGTGGTTGCTGGGGTTCTGAGAAGCAGAGCCTCTGGGAACGGGACTGAGAGCGGCCATAACTGCTCCCTCCGCCTGCCCTGTTGATCCTGTGCGACCCGCCCCGCCCAAGCCCTGCGCAGAGCCATTTGCCGGATAGCCTCAGGCAAAGGCTAGATTAGCACC